CTTCTCTTCACTGTAGGGCTTTTAATACGATTATTATATATTAATATAACTAAACAAACCTTATGGTTGTACGACAGTGAAGCATCAGTGGCAACACTGATGTTGCTGTCCTTGATGATGATGATGGTGATGATGATGATGATGATGATGATGATGATTCCACCTCTTGTTGTTTATAAATGGCTTTTTTATTCACAGGGTTCATCAGAGTTACATCCTGACTCTCGGTCAGCATTAACCGGTGGTGACTTGGACCGGGTTTGTTGGGTCTGTCTTGAATCTGATCTGGTTGAGGAGCCCAACGGTAACTGGTGCAGACCCTGTAGATGTCGCGGGGCTCTTAAGTGGGTTCACCACAGCTGTCTTCAACGGTGGATCGATGAACAACAATCAACTCGAGGGCAATCTTCTCCGGTCTCATGTCGAGCTTGTGGGGCCCAGTATGAAATTATCTACCCACCGACCAGTAGGTTCATTCGTTTGTTTTGGAATAAATATCCACTAGAATACACTTATCGTTTCTGTGCAAAGCTCAGTGCTGTAATTCTGGAATTGAAATCTGCTTGATGTTGAGCTTGGTTCCTCCTGTTTACCAGTCTCCGTGTGCTTTATCCACGGTGCACCAATTTCTTTTTTTGTCATCTGCTATACTGGTCAAAACATTCAGTAGTAGTCATTTATAGTGAGGGCAATGGTTACACGCTTCAACACAGTAAGCAAGTACATGTATTTCAACTCCTGATGCTGTTTCACTGCTTTGTTTCTGACACATTGTATACTGTAGCCATGGATTTGTTAGTTATTTAGTTAGTGCCACGTTCGTCGCTTCAGCGAATCAGTTGCTTGTGTTTTTTCTCTAGGTGTTTTCTATCTCATACTGGAAGCCATGGACTCCAGAACTCGAGTTTTGTCGTACTATCTTGCTGGTGGCCTGGTAATCGGTTCGTTCTACTGGTCGGCTGTAACATATGGTGCAGTAACCGTAATGCAAGTGCTTGGCCATCAAAAGGGACTGCAGCAAATGGAGCGAATGGATCCATTAATTTTGTTGCTCACATTGCCTGTGATTCCAGTTGGCCTGCTGGTGGCTAAGGCGGTCCCCTGGGAGAACTGTCTGCGTTCATTGTGGAGACAATACATCAGTCGGCTGGGCTTTGTCCGATGGCTAACGTGTAAAGGTTTGATTATTTGGGATCGAAATCAACGAATCCAGTCTATTTTTTAAAACTATATTTCGCTTGATTTGCGGTTCTCAAAAGGTGTTTCATGTCTGTCTAAATGGACCTGATAGAGAAGTCGACAAACTCTCTTCCTCAATTCATCATTATTAGTAGCAGCAGAGGAAGCACCGTCAATTTTGACACTGATGCTTTACTGCCCAACACTCATTCTGTGCTGCATCTTTGCAGTTCTGTACTTCTGTGCAGAATCTTAAACCCTGCTGAAGGGGAAGCTTCCGTTTTAGGTTTGTGTTACATGTGGAAGTCAACCAAGTGCGCCAGTCTCTATACTGAAGTGTAATGAAGTGATAAACAAGTTTTGTGTTGAGGCATTTCGGTCCGTTTTTTTATTGTATCCACCATAAATAGCCAGTTCACAAAAGCTGCTCTCTACTTGGAGGATTAAACGGTGACTGACCGCATTACTTACCCTGAATTGCTTAGAAATTTCGCCCATCTATTCTGCTCGAATAGTAATCTGTATAGATTGATCCGGTAGACAGCGATAAGTTTGCTTTGAATTGAATGAAAGTCGATGTTGTACAGCCCACATGATCCCCAATTTCTCAAAACCAGTTACACTAACTGATGAAGTAACCCTACTTTGGTGATGCAGTCCTTCTACACCCGCTCGGGAGTTCGGTCACTTTCTGTTTGCATGGAAATTCATGATGTCTACAAGATTTTGTAAGTGGCCCAAGTTGGCCCTAAGGCAGTGTATGGGGGGTTCCAAACCACAGTGGTGGATTCACCTTTCTAGTTTTTCCATGCTCTGATGTGCGCAAGTGCGCTTGCGTTTGCATGTTTCTCAGAAGCTGCAATATATCTCAGTTGAGCTGAGCTGAGCTGAGCTACTCAGGGCATCACGAATGATACTACTTTGTATCGGGATTTTAACCATTAAAACGGCCTCATTTTCGCTTCATGCGCCCGTCCTCATTGAACGCTTCGCTTTCATGGTCGAG